TATGCACGTACAAGAATATCCATGTAAGCATACACCACATTCTTGGCATACTATTTTACACTGGCATGCTAGATTTCTTTCCTCAATAATATAAATATTATTTGTTGATGCTGATGGAACATGTCATGAGTTTTCGGTTGGTATAACAAGATCAACATCTAAGCTCTCACTAGTTTTGTATCTTGCACGAAGTTCTTTCATCTTAATTGATATTTTACCTTTGTTAAGTATTATTAAGCGTTCGAAAAGCTTATCTATTATGAACTTCATTATAGCTGCGATGGTTTGCTTTGGTTTGGACGACCAAACATGATACAACTTGATAAAAAAAAATTATCAAGACGTCTTACATGTTTTCCTCCCAAGTATAAATATTTAATAGTCCGATGCATTCTTTCCAAATGCATATTCGTATTTAGTCCAGCATTAATACGAAAGCAGTAAGCCCAAGACTTGATGTTATTGAGGTAGTATGTTTTAAAATATTTTCCAAACTGTACGGTACTCTCTTTTGATAGTAATGATTGAACAAAATGTTCAATCATTGTTGTGACTGCACATGGGTCTGTTTCCTGGAGTATTGTCCTTAATTGTTTGTAAACAACTACCTTAAAATTAAGTTGAAATAAGTTATAAAACTATGTATATGCATCAGTAAGCTGACAAACCCTATCTTCTTTTGAACTGATCTTGCTAAGGTTGTTCCTCCAAGCACGATCAACATGCCATCACAAAACAATCTAGTAAAACAAAACCCATTATTTTAATAAATAACAATGATATGAGATAAATTTTACCTGTATGTAGCAGGCATCATAATATTAATCCAAGCATTATAGAAAGATGAGGCCATGTCTGACATAAAAACTTTGGACTCTAGGGCTTTTCCTAGTTTTTCTTTAATTTTCAGAAAAAATATGGATATGACTTGTTCGTCAGCAGGATTCGAAATTAAAAAACTGCATGGAAAGCCCTCTCTAATGTCATCTAATACCAGCAGCGTAGTTAACTCAAATTCATAGGCATTTATCCCATGTGTACTGTCAATACAAATACAATCATGGCCATACTTTTGTAGAATATCTTGGACCATCTGTCATTATTACAAGTACAAAATCTTCTTTTCTAAGAAATGTATACTCCTCACATATAATATCTTGAGCTTTATAATATAAAATAGAATTATTACCTTTCATTTCCATGATCCATTATTCGACACTTATGGCGTCATTTTTATGTCTGACTGAGGTATTGTTTAAGTTAAAATTATTTTCTATGTTGTATAGATCTTTCCTTGTTAACAATGGAGTCTTTCCAGTTTACAATTACTGACCGAATCTTTTATTTCATCTAAAATTGCAGTAAAAGGTAATTTAGCTGCAATTTTTGAGGCAATTTTTTTTTTCTGAAACTGTCAATCTCAGATGGCCCAAATCGCCTTCATGTCATGAGTTTTCATCCACAATACTCTATATTTTTTTTGTTCTGAAATTTTCAAACATATTTCTGCAGGACAGTAGCCATTAATTTTGCTAGAGCTTTGGCTCTTTAAAGGCGAATACCTTTGCCCTTTGAGTGAAAATATCTAGACCTATGACATCTGTAAATGATTTGCTGCCTTAAATTAAAATTTATTTTTTAGCAAGTTTACTTATATACAGAGAGTTTGTTGTTTCCTCTAGATTAGTTTTCCACTCAATAAATTCTCCAAAAGTTAAAAAGGATGCTGTTTCTGACCTAATACTAATGTCATGTATAGACTGAAAGTGACTTGTCAGTTGGGATCTAGTAAAATCTTTATAGTGACATAAAAGACATTTTTCCTTAAAAAGTTTTCTGTTGTTTATGCCATGTTGAGCTTTTTTATGGCTTTGAAAATGGCGTAAATTAGAAAAATGTTTTTTTTTACAAATCGGACAGGTATATTTGAAGACCTTTTCAGCAAGGAGCATATTTTTCCTATCTACAAATAAATATCTACATTATACCAATTATTAATAATCATATCATCGGTGAAATGTGATAAACTGCTAACTCCATTATTCCTAATTTTACAGGAAAGCATAAAAACGGTACAAAAAAATATGTACACATGTCGGAAGTATTTTAATGTGTTAATATGATAAAGAGATAAGAATTTTATTTGCTGGGGAACAATAAAACATAATATTTCGTGTTACTTAATTTTTTCAGACACAATAGGGAGATAGCAGATATTCGTCTTGCAGAAATAAGAAATAAAATTATGTTTCTGGAGATAACAACCTTTATTTTTTGAAATTTTGAAAATGGAATTGAATATTGCCCAAACAGATTTAGAAAGATAATCAATTAAATTTAAAAAATATGATATTCATAACCATATATTTATAATATCCTCGGTCTAGAAGCAAAACATACAGGTCCAAAAACTAATAAATTTTTAATGCATTTTTAAAGAACTGAAGTAGCAGCATTTTGGACTTAATGAATATGAAAAAAATTTAAAAATTAAACTTATAATTCTTAGAAGATATGGTAGAATCCTTATCAATAATAATTGTAAAAAAATAGGATAATGCTTATCCTATTTTTTTACAACGGTAGTAAACCGAGCTTGGAAAACAGTGCGGTCATTATAGGATGAAAACATCGTGATTTTATTAAATTTTTATTACTTTTCTCTTTATTTTTTTAATTTTTATAAAGATTATGTATCATATACGTTGAAAAACGTTAAAAAATAAAACTGATTAGGTATTATGGAAATTCTTGTACAAGTAATGGTTATTTAAACTATTTATAGCACGCCGATGAATTGCTCGTATATAGAGAATTTCGTTTTCCCCTTACCCTTTACGGATACACCGTATTAACAGAACGGATCGACGCAGGGTCGGACTGGCCATATTATTATTTACCGTTTTTTCAAATAAATCCAAAACAACCGAGTTATTTCACTTTTAAAATTTCTTTTTGTTAAAATTTTGAGAATCACTGGATTTTCTTTCTTGTAAATTTAATCTACCTATGTTTCCATATTACAAACAAAGTATGTTTTTAAACTAAAAATTAAAAAAGAATCCAATTTTTTTTTAAAAAATTCCAAATTTAAAAAAAAATTCGCGCAAAATACCTCATAATCGTGTTTCTTGGGTCGAAATATACTATCCCTAAAAATATTTGCACTTATTTAAGACTCACCCTGTATATAATAGGGAAAAATTGACCAAAACGTAAGGCGAAAAAATACGCCAAAAAAAATCGACACTCCTTACATTGCCACACGGGCCCCTTTGGCCTAGTGCGACCCTGGACCGACGCGTACTGTACTAAAGAAACATACTAGTAAGAATCCGTGTGTTTGCTTAGCGTGATCGTAACGGAAATTACGGAGATAGCAGCATTTCGGTGACTATTTTAGATCACTGGGAGTTAGCAGATATTATTGAGTTAAAATATGGGGCCAGTGTCACAGAACTGGGCCTATTTTATTGCAATAAATTAGTAAGAAAATATTAAGCATCATAAAAAAAATCATTTTGGAATATATTTAATTAAATGCTAGTTCTTATAGCTAAAATCCATATGAGGATTCTAAAAGATGGAATCTAATAAATAATCATAAAGCTGTGTCTGTTTTCCGATATTTTTTATTACGAAGAGCATTTTAAGTTGTAAGGACTACTTTCTGTAATAAAATAATTTCCATTTATAATTTTCTTCATTTTTCCATATTACTGTTATAAATTTAATGTAGAATCAATGGAATAATAGATATCCATTTTCAATTTTAAAATTAAATAAATTGTTTCACAAAATAATTTAGAATTACAATTGTACCATTTGCGTTACGTACGTCAAAATACTTGCTTTAACTCTTGTTTACACGACAACGTAACGGCAGACGTAACGTAAGTTTCTGCGTTACGTGTCGAGAGATACGTATACGTATTGTGCCTTGCTTTAACTGTCTAATATAGTCCGCACATAAAATATTTGAAATTAAACAAACTCTCCACAACAAAAATAAACCGTTCAAATTAGGTTATAAGAATTTGACGGCAGTTATCAATTTCAACGCATGCGGGAAGCAAGGGAGCAAAAGTGGAGTGCGGCTCTCTAGCTTCTAGTGCTTGCCAGGTCGAGGTAGACTATCAAAGTCATCGAAACCGGTCGACGAATGGGTAGTCTCCTTGGCCTGACAAGCTTTAAGCAGAAAATTCGCACATAAAGCAGGTGTACTGCTATTAAATGCTTTTTCAAGCATAATCTTATGGAGTTTACTGGTGTTTTCATTGTGACGTGCATCAAAAATAATTTTAATAATTATTTCTCTATAATAAAGCTATTAATATTTCATTAACGTATATTTTTTACCAAACCAAATCTAACCTACAAAATATACGTTAATTAAATATTATTTGAACAATTTGTTAACGTATATTGACGATAGACAAATATAACAGATATAAACAATATAATATACCTAAACAAATAATACAAAAACTAATAATATATTAAGGTAGGTGTATACAATATCGCCATGTTGGCAATTTCGCCATGTGTAGTTTGTATTCCTATTTGATAGTTGGCGCCACCGATTCTGCCTTAGGGAAGAAATTTGCGACAAACAACGAGTAACGGTTGCTTTATAACCTCAAATTTCATTTTCGTTGTGATTTTACCGGCAAAACATTGTTTAGTGAAACCGCCTTCTAAACGTTATTAAAATTTTGTTGATGTTTAACATCCAAAATCACTTGGTAAGTATTTTTTTCAATTAAGTATCTTATACAGTATGTTTTCAGGTATTTGATTAGGCCTCAGTTTTAATTTTAAAGGTTTTTGTAATTTTTGTAAACAAACAAATCTCTGACCAATATCCCTGATAGCAATACCGCCACTTTCATGTATCGCCAGTGGCGATATTGCTTACACCTAGCAGAAGAACAACTCTGTCTTTTTCTTGATACTCTCCTTGAGTTTTTGCATATGTATTTTTTATTTTTAGGTAAACTATGCCTACAGAACGGAATCGAGGTATACGGGAAAAGTGGAGTGAGGAAAATATGCAAAATGCTATTGCAGCAGTACGGAATGGCATGTCCAAGAATATGGCGAGTAAGCAATTTTCGGTACCTCGTGGAACTCTTAGGGATTACTTAGCAAAAAATGTAACATTGAAATGTAGCATGGGTCGTAAATGTATTCTCACCAAAGAACAAGAAACAGAATTGTGTTCAAGGATTATTCGATTAGCAGAAGTAGGGTATCCGCTAACTTCTAAGGTGTTGCGCAGATGTGTCTTTAATTTTTGCGACGCCAACTCTATATGCCACTCATTTAATGAGGAAAAGAAGTTAGCTAGGCGTTTCTGGCTTAAAGGCTTTTTTACCCGCAGTCCTCAAATTCGAAAGCGGAAGGCTCAGAGTATGAATCCCGCCAGGGCCCAAAAGTTAAACCGGTTTATAGTGAATGACCACTTTGTAAAACTGCGTGAAATTTTGACTAACCTTAATGTTATGGGTAAACCTCAGCACATATACAATATGGATTTGAAAGGGTGTCGTTTGGCTCTCCATCACCAACAGTCGGTTCTGGCAAAGAAGGGAGCCAAACGAGTTCATTTTGTAGCTCATGAACATGGACAAAATGTCACAATAGTTTCCTGTGGAAATGCTTTGGGTTCTGCAGTTCCTCCTGTAGTGTTATTTAAGGGAAAACGAATGAAACAAGAATGGACCAATTCTCTACCACCAGGGAGTTTGGCGTTGATGACACCCAAAGGCAGCATGACCACAGAAACCTTTAAATTATGGCTTCAACATTTTTCCAAGTACAAAGTTCCTGGACCATGCCTATTAATTTTTGATAGTGCCAAATGTCACTTAGACTACACAATTGTCACCGTTGCTGAAGAACTGGGCATCACCTTGTATTGCCTTACCAAGTAATACAACCCACGAACTTCAACCCATGGATAAGGCTGTCTTTCGCTCTTTTGAGCACTATTGGGATGATGAAGTTCTCAAGTACTGGTCAAATCATAGAGACCGTTCTTTAACAAAACAACGTTTTGGTGCCCTTTTTTCGATTGTCTGGGATAAGTCCATGACCCCCTCTAATATTAAATCTGGGTTTTCCGCCACTGGCATCTTCCCCTTTAATCCAGATATTTTACCGGTTGAGGCATTTGCACCAAGCAGTGTAACCGAATATCAGGATCATCAAATATCGCCAAGCTTACAAGTAAGAACAGAGTTTTCAATCCTTCCAAAAAAATAAAAAACCGAGAACGAATTAGCAGCAGCGATGAATCTGAGGATGAAACTTTTGAGATGTCTGATAGTTCATCGGAAGACTAGTAATCAGAAATTAGTAAATCCTCCGAAACCACTGATGAGCACGATGTTTCTTTTAATGATATGCTTAATACACCAGAATTAGCACAAAAATCCGATGGAAAATTCCGAAAACCAGCAATTAACAGCAGAGCACAAGTTGTTACAAAAGATCTTTTTACTGAATTTACAGCCGGAAACAAGAAGACTAAGTCAGTGGCCACAACTTCAAAAAAAAGTGTACCAAAAAAGAAGACTGAACCAAAAAAAGTAGAAAGTTGATATTGCAAAGCATGCCGAGAAGATAGAGTTTCTGATATGCGCCTCTGTGTTATGTGCCAATCTTATTTGCATGATGACTGTCTAGGATTAACAAAAGAAGTCAAAATAGAGGGATATATCTGCCCTTACTGTTCCTAATTTTTGTTATTATTTGTGTACTTGCCTGGCCTAAATAAATACTATTTACAGAAATTAAGTTTTTCTTTACTTTTTTAAGAATTTATTTAAAATTCAACATATAAAATAGTTGGCGGTATTGCTAGCCCAGTGATGACAATATCGCCAATTTACAAAATAAAATAAAAAGTTAACAAATATCCTCTGTGTGTTTAAAATATTACCAAACAATTTAAAACTATTAGTAAATAGCCTAGATAATGGATCTTACTTATAAATTTTGATACCAAATATTAATTACCTATTGAAAAAAAAATTAAAAGCTTAGCATGGCGATATTGTATACACTTACCTTATAACGTCCGCCTATGACGGGGTCTCATCTTAGAAAACGCTAAAGACGCTACAGAAAACAAACTGATTTGTTTTCAATTGCGTTTTTTGCGAGACACACCGAACGCTACTCGCTTTTGGTGTAGTCACTCCTATATAATCCCATTATTTTGTTTTAGTCGCTAAAGACGCTTCACGCTAAAAACGCAAAAAACGCTTTCTGTGTGGCCGTAGGCTTAGGGTGTGCGAAATCAGTTTTAGTCCAGTCATGTTCTAGTCCATTCATTGTCCAGTATTTGTTGGATATAATCATAATGAACGGATAAGAAGGAAAGTATAATGAACCATATATACATAGAACAAATGGCGGAAGACGACAGAGTGGTGATGGTAGTAGAATAACAAGACGCACTAAAAAACGAGTTTGCGATGGACTTCATCACACAGCCACTCGCGTCCACTGCTGGACATAAGCTTCCCGCTATATAATCTCTGCCACTCCTCACGATCTCTCGCAGCATTCATCCAATTTGTATTGATTCTTTTTATATCCTTGGACCAGTGTGTGGGTGGACGACTTTTACACAATAAGCGTCCTGGGCCTCCACTAGATAATTCTCTTAGTCCACCGATTATCCGATCTTCTTGCCAGGTGTCCTGTCCCACTCCATTTCAAGTGAGTGATTCTGTCCACCGCGTCTAACAACCCAATCATCCTGCGTATAGTTGTATTAGGCACTTTATCTACAAGAGATAGGTCTAACATGGCTCGTTCTATTCTTCGTTGCGCTATTGCTTATTTTGTTCGCACTATTTTTGGTTAAGTTTAGAGTTTCAGAACCATATGTCAGTTCCAGTAGAACGCACTTATTATACACCTTCCGCTTCAGACAGATTTGAATGTCAGACCGGAATACATGTCTTAATTTACCAAAAATTTGTTTGTGTGCTTAATTGCGATGGACTGAAAGAGAGTAATGGGCTAATGAAGAAAATAGAAAAAATAGAATATCCAAAAATTCCAATTTCATTATTATTGTTTCAAGTGAAACATTGTCCATTACCTTTAAACAAACAGGCCTACCCTATCGTCGATCTGGAGATGTAAACAAACGGATAATGAACGATCTCTGAAAGTCGGGATCCCGGCGACGTAGACCACAGAGAACAATCGCCGTCGTAAATCATGGGGCCCGGCCGGCGCGGCGGCAACCTTCTCAGTTTTACCGCCACCGCCGCTCCGTGGTACGACCTCCCGACTACCGTACGGATTAAAACGTACCTAATCTGAATTTATTGGTGGTACCTACCTTTCGGTCCTTCTCTTCTTCATGCAAGAAAATACCGCACATAAAGCAGGTGTACTGCTATTAAATGCTTTTTCAAGCATAATCTTATGGAGTTTACTGGTGTTTTCATTGTGACGTGCATCAAAAAATAATTTTAATAATTATTTCTCTATAATAAAGCTATTAATATTTCATTAACGTATATTTTTTACCAAACCCAAATCTAACCTACAAAATATACGTTAATTAAATAATATTTGAACAATTTGTTAACGTATATTGACGATAGACAAATATAACAGATATAAACAATATAATATACCTAAACAAATAATACAAAAACTAATAATATATTAAGGTAGGTGTATACAATATCGCCATGTTGGCAATTTCGCCATGCCATGTGTAGTTTGTATTCCTATTTGATAGTTGGCGCCACCGATTCTGCCTTAGGGAAGAAATTTGCGACAAACAACGAGTAACGGTTGCTTTATAACCTCAAATTTCATTTTTCGTTGTGATTTTACCGGCAAAACATTGTTTAGTGAAACCGCCTTCTAAACGTTATTAAAAATTTTGTTGATGTTTAACATCCAAAATCACTTGCAATATTTTTTCAATTAAGTATCTTATACAGTATGTTTTCAGGTATTTGATTAGGCCTCAGTTTTAATTTTTAAAGGTTTTTGTAATTTTGTAAACAAACAAATCTCTGACCAATATCCCTGATAGCAATACCGCCACTTTCATGTATCGCCAGGGGCGATATTGCTTACCCTAGCAGAAGAACAACTCTGTCTTTTCTTGATACTCTCCTTGAGTTTTTTGCATATGTATTTTTTATTTTTAGGTAAACTATGCCTACAGAACGGAATCGAGGTATACGGGAAAAGTGGAGTGAGGAAAATATGCAAATGCTATTGCAGCAGTACGGAATGGCATGTCCAAGAATATGGCGAGTAAGCAATTTTCGGTACCTCGTGGAACTCTTAGGGATTACTTAGCAAAAAATGTAACATTGAAATGTAGCATGGGTCGTAAATGTATTCTCACCAAAGAACAAGAAACAGAATTGTGTTCAAGGATTATTCGATTAGCAGAAGTAGGGTATCCGCTAACTTCTAAGGTGTTGCGCAGATGTGTCTTTAATTTTTGCGACGCCAACTCTATATGCCACTCATTTAATGAGGAAAAAAGAAGTTAGCTGGGCGTTTCTGGCTTAAAGGCTTTTTACCCGCAGTCCTCAAATTCGAAAGCGGAAGGCTCAGAGTATGAATCCCGCCAGGGCCCAAAAAGTTAAACCGGTTTATAGTGAATGACCACTTTGTAAAACTGCGTGAAATTTTGACTAACCTTAATGTTATGGGTAAACCTCAGCACATATACAATATGGATTTGAAAGGGTGTCGTTTGGCTCTCCATCACCAACAGTCGGTTCTGGCAAAGAAGGGAGTTTTCAAACGAGTTCATTTTGTAGCTCATGAACATGGACAAAATGTCACAATAGTTTCCTGTGGAAATGCTTTGGGTTCTGCAGTTCCTCCTGTAGTGTTATTTAAGGAAAACAGAATGAAACAAGAATGGACCAATTCTCTACCACCATGGAGTTTGGCGTTGATGACACCCAAAGGCAGCATGACCACAGAAACCTTTAAATTATAAGCTTCAACATTTTTCCAAGTACAAAGTTCCTGGACCATGCCTATTAATTTTTGATGGTGCTAAATGTCACTTAGACTACACAATTGTCACCGTTGCTGAAGAACTGGGCATCACCTTGTATTGCCTTACCAAGTAATACAACCCACGAACTTCAACCCATGGATAAGGCTGTCTTTCGCTCTTTTGAGCACTATTGGGATGATGAAGTTCTCAAGTACTGGTCAAATCATAGAGACCGTTCTTTAACAAAACAACGTTTTGGTGCCCTTTTCGATTGTCTGGGATAAGTCCATGACCCCTCTAATATTAAATCTGGGTTTTCCGCCACTGGCATCTTCCCCTTTAATCCAGATATTTTACCGGTTGAGGCATTTGCACCAAGCAGTGTAACCGAATATCAGGATCATCAAATATCGCCAAGCTTACAAGTAAGAACAGAGTTTTCAATCCTTCCAAAAAATAAAAAACCGAGAACGAATTAGCAGCAGCGATGAATCTGAGGATGAAACTTTTGAGATGTCTGATAGTTCATCGGAAGACTAGTAATCAGAAATTAGTAAATCCTCGAAACCACTGATGAGCACGATGTTTCTTTTAATGATATGCTTAATACACCAGAATTAGCACAAAATCCGATGGAAAATTCCGAAAACCAGCAATTAACAGCAGAGCACAAAGTTGTTACAAAAGATCTTTTTAGTGAATTTACAGCCGGAAACAAAGAAGACTAAGTCAGTGGCCACAACTTCAAAAAAAAGTGTACCAAAAAGAAGACTGAACCAAAAAAAGTAGAAAGTTGATATTGCAAAGCATGCCGAGAAGATAGAGTTTCTGATATGCGCCTCTGTGTTATGTGCCAATCTTATTTGCATGATGACTGTCTAGGATTAACAAAAGAAGTCAAAATAGAGGGATATATCTGCCCTTACTGTTCCTAATTTTTGTTATTATTTACTTAGTTACTAAAAGTTTGTGTACTTGCCTGGCCTAAATAAATACTATTTACAGAAATTAAGTTTTTCTTTACTTTTTTAAGAATTTATTTAAAATTCAACATATAAAATAGTTGGCGGTATTGCTCGCCCAGTGATGACAATATCGCCAATTTACAAAATAAAATAAAAAATTAACAAATATTCTCTGTGTGCTTAAAATATTACCAAACAATTTAAAACTATTAGTAAATAGCCTAGATAATGCATCTTACTTATAAATTTTGATACCAAATATTAATTACCTATTGAAAAAAAAATTAAAAGCTTAGCATGTCGATATTGTATACACTTACCTTATATTATATAATATAAATATATAAATTATAATATATTATTTTAATGAGAGGATCTAGCTCTAGAATTTTGCCAAATTGAATTTCTTAACTTATTGTGTATTAATATTTTATCTTTTATATTTTTTAAAAGAAAATCCTTGTTAATTTAAGTAATTATTATTGACTACTACAGATGTTGTAAATTATAAATTTTTTGTTTGTTGTTTTTTGATAATTTTCTGGACCATTTGCAAAATTTAAATATACCTATTTCGACAAGCTTGTTTAACAAAAAGGATTTATAAACATAACAGTTATCAGATTTAATTCCCAGGCAAATAATATTTCTTAAAAATAATTTATTTTTAATTTTGGTAGCTAAGAATTCTTGATCTTTTTATACTTATCAAAATATCTTTTGAAAGTGGCCATTGATCTGGATACAACACGGTCAATTTCTGTATCAGCAATTACAAGGGATCTTGGCCAGTAAAACTTTTATTAAGCAAAAATACCTGTGAAGAATCTGCCAAATTTAATTTGATTGAAAATTTGATTTACAATTGGAACACATAAACTTTTCAATCACTCGTCTAACTAAATATCCGGAATAATAAAAAATTGGCAGATTCTTCCAGGCTCTTTTTACCTTTCGGTAATAAAGGTGCATTCTCTTCCAATTCAGATTGCAGATCATTGTCGCTATCTGAATCTAGAGAACACACCTTCTCTTGGGTCATGGTATTAATTATATAATGGAAAATAAATTTCTTGCAGTTTTTAGGTATATAATAAAATTATATAAGAGTTTCTTGCCTTGAACTGCTAATATAGAAATTAATTCCACGCTGTGTTCGTCATAATGTGGATCAGCCTGCTTGGTATTAATTATTATATTATTTTTAGGAACATCCTTTTTAATTCCTGACAAGAGAATTTGAGTGTCTGTATCCTCTTCACAATTTGAAATCTTGGATGGTGACAATAGACAAGTTATGGTTTTAATTCTAAAGAATAGTCGAAATGCTTTGGCGGTTGGATTTAAATTCCAACCACCACGTTGTCTAGCCATTGAAAACAAATTTTCCAAGTCCACAAAAAATCCAAGCCTTGGTTGAGCCTGTTCGTTAGAATAAAATGGATATTTTCCTTTTTTTCGCTTTCAAAAAGTGGTTCTATCGCGTTAATAGTTTGGATAATGCCGTCAAAACATGGAGGTCTACTTTCGAATAATCCTGTCTTTCCCTTTTTATAATTTAACTTTCGTAGAGATTTAAATATACTATTACCTTTTTGAAAAACATCTTTTACTGATCTACTATGTTCACTCAGTCCACAATTAAAAGGAGTTCTTGCAAATGGGCGTTTGCTGTTAAGAGCATCAAATAGATTGTTCATGGTCTCAATAAAATCTGCTGTATGACTGCCTATTTCATTTGGTATAAATCGCTTAGTCACACATTTTAATGGCAGCGGCTATAGTATTTGAGAATAATTGCAATGTTAAGGAACACGACATCTTTTCAAAAGAATTCGGGTTTATATATTTTCCGTTATTTTTGGGATCGTTCTTATTGTAGGGGAAGATACATCAATTTCGTATGTTTTTCTAATAACATCGAAATTAATTGTTTTCTCTCCCAAAAGGAACTTCTTAGCGGACAACAAATTACTCCGAATACTTTTGAAAAGATGCGGAGCATCAAACAAAGCGAATATTTTGCTCTTGTTAAAATAAAAATAAGGGTTGTCCTTAGTAACACTGAGTAATTTAAAGGCGGATCGATTACTACTTCCCTGGTCACAAACAATGGCTTTCGGGATAAAACCTATATCATGTAGGGTTTCTAGGATATACTCAATTAAAACATTTTCCATAATGAATAAATTTCAAAATTTCCATAATGAATAAATTCCTCTGATGGAGAAAACTAAAACATGCGTAGCTTCTTTCGGTTTGCGTCTTAAGGAGCCTAAGTCCTCAAAACCTTCTATAATATCTAGTTTTTTGTTGTATTTCAGACATTGTTTGATTTTTTTTTCATTTTTCTCCATACCTGTACACTTCAGCTTTAGACAGGTTTTTTATATTATCATCCACACCAGTTTTAAAATTATTCTGTCCAATCCATTTTCGAATAGTTGATGTAGATGGTAATATAATCCCCTTTTGCCTTAAAAACTTGTAAGCTGAACGTGATTTGTAATAAAATGATATAGCCAACTCCTTTTCGTGTTGGGAGTAGAGTGTTCGACGTTTACCTCGAATTTGCATCAAAACAAATGTTTTTGCAGTTATAGATAAAAATTATAAAAAAGGTAATAACTTTAAAATGGTTAATTTTGATTTATTTAATTTATCTTTTAATCTGTTGATTTTTCTTTTAAAATGGTCAATCCTCTTTTTTTTTTGAAAAGTGATAGTTTTTTTAAGTTTTATTTTTCTTGGTGTGGTTATATTGTCCGGGAGGTTAGTAATTTTTTGTAAAAAGTTATTTTCCATTTTAAAGTTTAAGTTCTTTTTACATGAGGGCGATGGTCCTGGCGAATTATTGCGTGGACTACAAAGAAGTAGACCACTATCCATGTCCAAGTACGTCCGTTTGGGTATAAGGACTCTTAAGTTTTCTTCAGTATCCACATTTTTTTCAAAATGAGTAGGAACCGCATCATCCTTTAAATAATACTTTTTTTGGGTCTTGTAATTGCTGTCAATAAAATGTTTTCACATATACATATAACGGTTTCTCAACAAGTCTTCTGGCAGACCAACTAGTTGGGCGTTTCCTAAAAACAATCAGTGTTCTTTAGGTTACCATACAAGTGCTAAAAGTATTTTTTTGTACCCGTTTTTATTATTTTTTATTATTAAGTTAAATACTTTTACAGAATAAAACGACCTAGAACAAATTGAGGATTTTAGAATAGATTTTTAACTTTTAATTAGGTACCTAATTCAATTTAAATCCGTTGAATGATAATGGATTGTAGGTAATTTTTTTGTATAAAAAAAACATAAAAATAAAAAATATAAAAAAACATAAAACATAAAAAAATCCCGTCGAAAATCCCAATAGATTGCAAGTTTGTAGAATTGGCTCGAGAAAAATAATATACTTTAGCTCTCGGTATTTTGTCAATACCAACCTCGAGCTAAAATCTAATACTTTTTCCCCTTGTATAATAAATAACTGTGTTCATTCCTGCAAAATCATATTTTTATCCAAAACTCAATTTTTTCAAATAGATTAAAATGAGCCATTATTAGCATAAATATTCGGAATAAGCATTTTATTACGAATAATTTGATACCACACACTTGATATTTAGACCTAAATTTTTTATCGAAAAATGTAAGAAAAAATTAGGGATTCCCTTTAAAAATCTAAAATTGCAGTAATAGGTAGATACTCTTAAGCATAATAAAAAATAATAAATTTAAGTTTGAATACCTATTAATTCGGATTAACAATTCACTTCTATATAATAAATTTTTAAAGTTAATTATATTAGTCTTAACTTACCACATTTTAAGACCCAATTTTCATAAACATTTTTCCTTTTTATGGGAAATCTAAACATTTTTACATGATCATTTCGCCTTAATGATCCACAAAAATATTGGCATTGATCACCACCTGCAACAGGAGACATTTTGTATAAATAAATGAATTAAATCGTCAAAAATCGAATACGCCGTTACGACGCGTCTGCACAACTCCCACGCCGCCGCCGGCACGCTGATCGGACAAAACAAAGATGGAAATAAAAATAGATAATTTAAATTGAAAAACATCGAAATTGTTAGTTTTACAGTAATTTCACCATCTGCGATAGCAGCTATCGTATTGCTTTTGTGTGCTTTCGGATATTGACCATAAAATTGTTGTAATACAGCTTTCTGGAATTCCTCTCTTCAGCATGACATCCTGATAATTTCCCTGCCACCAACGTAAGGGTCGGATGAAGAGGGTGTGGTGTTTGAAGGTGAAAGTAAGAGGTCGGGTTCTGGTTTTATATAAATCGGGTTATCTATCAGTAATTTGTTAAAGAGGGGGTACCAGTTTTGCGAACTCCAGTTAGGTACTACAACAATACCCGTTGCTTGGTCTTCGATAATTTTATTTAAAGTTTTTGAAATTAGAGAGAATGGTGGAAATGCATAAAAGAAATTACTCCATTTTATTTTTTTGCCGTCCGGGCCCCATGAAACAAATATTAGCCATTTGGTATTTAATTTTGAGGCAAAAAGGTCAATTTCCGGTGATCCAAATTTTCTGCATATAAAAATAAATTTATCCTGTTTTAATTGGTATTCTGTTTCTAGAGACTTTGTTCGAGTTGCTGAGTCCGCCAATTTATTTTCTTTGGAAGCTATGTATGATGCAAATATGTGTATATTTTTATTTTTGCACCAGTCCCAAATTTGTTTAGATATTTTATTTATAGGTTTTCGTGTTGAACACTGCCTTTTTTATTCATGCAGGCAATGGCTGTTTTGTTGTCTATACGTATATATATATGTTACAATTTTTGTAGGTTTTCCCGAAAGATTTTAGCGCGTATAAGACTAAGTAATTCTAAAAAAATTATGTGTCTTTGAATTTCCCATGGGGACCAAAACCCATGAATTGAATTGCCCTCAAGGTGTGCCCCCCACCCCGTTTTGGAAGCATTTGTAAAGATCGTAATTAAGAATGTTTTTGAAATGTCAATTTTCTCATATGAATTTAATATATGTTCAAGCCACCAATCAAATTCGGGATTTAAGCTGTTTGGTAATTTTACGGTGGATCTATATTTTTTATAATGTTTGAGAATTACATATTTTATTCTTTCAAATGGTTTTATATGATTCCAGCCATAAGACACCGCTGGATAAGCAGCTACTAACTTTCCAATTAGATTGGCAAAGTTTTTAATTGTGCATTTAGGGCTATTTTTTATAGAAAGAATATTATTGAGTACAGCATTTTTCTTTTCAATTGGAAGGAGTAGTTGCATTGTAACTGTATTAAAGGTATAACCTAAAAATATTAACTTATTTGTTGGTTTCGTAACACTTTTTTCCCAGTTGATATGAGAAATCCTAACTTACTAAGTAATGTAATTGTTTTATTGACTATTTTTTGGCATTTTAACTCGGACGAGTCTATTAGAAGAAAATCATCTAAGTAAGCAATTAGCAAGATATTTTCCTCCCTTAGACTTCGTAGTACTAGTTTTAGAAGTCTTGTAAATATGTAAGGAGCTATATTGAGGCCGAAAGGTAGACAATTAAACTGATATAATTTGATATTAAAAGAGAAACGGAGGTATTTTCTATGACTTTTATATATAGGAATAAGGTAGTAAGCATCTTTTAAATCAATGCTTGCCAAAAAAGATTTTTTTGAGTCGAGCCTTAAGGCGTTTGTTTGTTACTTAATAGAGAATTTGAATTTAGCGCCTAAAGCGCGCCATATTGGCGACGTAGAGAATGATAGCAGCCATGTTCAAGAAAACAACTGTGCACACATTCTTGTAAATCACACATAAAAAATAAAGTTTCATATAAGTTGCAACTTCTTTCAATCCACAACATACACACAAAAATCAACAGTCCACTGCACAATCATATTCAATTAGCTCTTTCTCCTAAGGCAAGATATACGGAATTAAACAAATTAAATATATGCTGTAATTGTTTACAATTCGGACATTCAGTAAATACATGTCGAAGTAGTAGTGCTTGTAAGCAATGTCATAAACGACATATCACTGTACTGCATTTTAATAATTATATTGTCAAAGAAAAAAACGTTACAGATTCCCCTACATCAAATTGCACAGAATTATCTACAGTTCAACCAACACATTCCAGTGTTCACATATCACAAGAACGTCAGGTTCTGTCAAATTCAGAAGATTCCATGGTGAACGTGATTTCTCTAGAACAAAATTTGTTACATTCCAAATCAGTAAATGAGCAAGTATTGTTATCCACCGTGCAATACATGTTTTTGATATAAATAATAAGCCTGTCAAATGTAGAGCATTATTAGATTCAGGTTCTCAATGGAATTTTATGACTCATGAATTATTCAAAGTGCTTAAATTAGACGCTTTACTGATTCAAATACCGGTAACAGGAATTAATCAAACAAAGTTAAATATTAATAAAAAAGTTTTTGCCAAAGTTAAGTCAACTGATAGCTCGTATAGTTCAAATCTGTCATTTTTAATTTTAAACAAAATAATAAGTGAGTTGCCACAGTATTATTTTAGTCCTTCCGAGTTGAATATTCCAGACAATATTGAAATATCAGATCCAGAGTATAATAAACCAGGTAAGATAGACATGCTGTTAGGCAGCGGAGTTTTCTTTTCTTTACTATCATCAGGCAAAATCGAACTAAATAAATATGGTCTTATCTTACAACAAACTAAATTAGGTTGGATATTAGCCGGTCCATTACAAATTCCCGAGTCAAACTCTTCTGAAATAGTCTCTTGTTCTAATGTAGCTTCCAATTGCTTTTAATCAATGTAATCTTATAAACGACTCAAACTGTACAATTCGTTTGAGTCCAATGTAGATCTTAGATCTGTTAACTTTTTTTTTTATTAAATAAAACATTTTGTTAAAAACAACTTGTCTCGAGTTTCTCATTTAACTGGCGCAGTCGGTAGGATATTCCGAACGCGGAGTGTTAAATAGTACCGATTTAAGGTGAATATTCGCGCGTTCGCTTCAAGTGTTAATCCGGAATACGCCTTCTTCCCGGGACCTGGAAGAAAATAGCACCGATTTGGGCGTATCTTCTTACAGGTTCCAACGTTACTTGGTCACGAGAGGCAAGAAAGAAGAAGACGCCAAGACTTCTGTTGGCTCCACAAAACAGTAGGTCTTCAAAATATTGGGGATCTTCTGTCTGGCTGTCTGGAAGGACAAACATCGCCGTCCAACAGTACGTCTGGTGAGGACAAACATCGCCAACCCAGACATAGTTAAGAACTAGAATAAGAAGAAACAACAAACAAAGAAAAAAAAAGAAACCCACAGCAGGAATGTCTACAAGCATCACCCTGTAAGTAGAAGTTTTAGAAGTTTTTTTGAATTTTGAAGATTTTGTGAAGTTTTGTGCTATACGAAATTTCGTGACTTTTCGTGATTTTCGCGAAGCTGCTTGATAAAAAATTAAAAAATACGCCTTTCGGAACTAATCAAGTTAGAGAGTTTGTGACAGTAAATTTAGTTTTAAGATAATCTCTCTTTAAATTTTTGTCACTTTTATTTTATTTTAAGGATACATATCGTTTTTTCTCCCTTCTAAGTGTATTTCGAAAGAAAGCAAGATTGACGAAATAATAAACGATATTATCAATAATTTAACCGATCTTTCTATTGATAATATTGCAAATCAGATAATAATGCCAGAAACAAATTATAATTTATTACGTTTTCAGTCAGATAATATTCCTAAATTTGACGGGAACCCAAAATTATTACAAAGATATTTAAATTCATGTGAAAACTTAATAAAAGCTTTTCAAGATATAGCAAATCCCAACGCACAAATTAACATATGTCTCACAGACACTGTCTTAGGAAAACTAACTGGTAGAGCAGCCGATCTTATTGTCTCTCGCTCAGAACTAAAAACATGGACTGATATTAAAAATACATTAATAAATTGTTTTGCTGATCAAAGATCAATTGATTGCTTAATACAAGATTTAATTAATTTAAAACCATTCAAAAATGAATCTCCTATAAATTTTGGAATGCGTATCCAAGATTCACGCAGTTTATTATTTTCAAAATTAAATGCAACAAATGAACTTGCAACTGAAAAATTAATGAAAATTAGACATTATGAAGAATTTGCTTTAAAAACTTTTATAAATGGATTGCCTTATAATCTTCAATTAATTGTGAGATTAAAAAATCCAGATTGTCTAGAAAAAGCCATGTCTTTCGTTCGAGAAGAAGAAAATTTCCTATATTTTAAAAATCACTCGTATAATAATACACATACACAACAATCGTTAAGACACCCAACACCTCAAACAAAAACACAACATAATTATAAATCACATATTCCTATTTTTAAACCTAATTATCAACCAATGTATAGTCAATTTAATAATAATAATCACCAAAATTATTCTAATTATGGTATAAGGGATAGATTACTGGATACACGAACTTTTATGCCAAGGCAAAATCAATTTAGTAATCAACCAAGTACATCTAATCAATTTCAAAGAAATTTGCCAAATAATAATCAACAATTTGGAAGACCTAATTTTGGACAAAGACCAAATTCAAACACTTTTAGACAAAATAAACCAAGTTCGTCTAATAGTAGACTAAATAGAGTTGAACCAATGGACACGAGTTCAGGAAACACTGTTTTACACCAAAACATTATAACACGTTCAGACATAGAACAATCTAACACACAAAATAACACTCAAAATACAAATAATGATTTTGAAAACACTAATAATGACTTTGAATATAATAACACAAATGAATGTTCTAATTATCCAAATATGACTAATTTTAATGATCAATTTTATGATGAACAATATAATCAATATGACTTAGAAAATTTTAATCAAGAAGAAGTTTTAGAATCTCCTGAAGATCAAAATTTTCAGATGATTTCGACTACACAACCATCGATATAGCATATCTAAATAATTATTGTATTGAATTACCTTTTATTATTTTACCTGAGTTGAATGCAAAATTTTTAATTGACACAGGTAGTACAAAAAGTTTCATAAATCCAGAAATTGCTTATAATTATTTTCAAGATTTTATTAAAGAAGAAATTTTTCAAGTTCAAACTACACATGCTGTTTCATTTCATAATGAAGTTGCTATTTTACCTATATTTCCAAGTTTTAATTCACCTGGTATACATAAATTTTATTTATTTAATTTTTCAAATAAATTTGACGGTCTCATAGGACTAGACCTCTTAATGCAATTAAATGCTAACTTAGATTTTAATTCTCTCTCTTTAAAAACGCCTAACACGCAAATTCCAATTGAATATCAGACTAAAATGAATAAACCTATTATAAATAATAATATACAGAGTTGTACTCATGTAATTTCTCCTAGAAGTATACAAAAAATTAAAATACCTGTAAAATTAAATAATGGATATGGAATTTTAAAATATCAAAAAGCAAATGAAATTGAAATACCTGAATGTCTAGTAAAAATAGAAAATAACTTTGCATTTACTACTATTTTAAATAATTCTTCAAATTCTGTAAATGTATCATTTATTGAACCTTTTGACATTGAACCAGTAAATATAAATGAATTAAATTTTATTAATTCTGACAATAATATTGAACAAGTAAATAAAAATCAAGATAATTTATTAAAATCTAATTTAAAAAATTTAAGACTTGATCATTGTAATTCTGAAGAAAAACAAGCTATCAGAAAATTATGTTTAGAATTTCGAGATATTTTTCATCATGAAGATATACCTTTATCTTTTACTAATGCCATTAAACATGACATAAAATTAAAAAATGAAACACCTCTTTATACTAAAAGTTATAGATATCCAGAAGTACATAAAAATGAAGTAAAAAGTCAAATTAATAAATTACTTTCTCAAAATATTATAAGACCTTCAAATTCACCTTGGTCTTCACCAATTTGGATAGTACCTAAAAAACTAGACGCATCAAATAAACAAAAATGGCGTATGGTCATTGATTATCGAAAATTAAATGAACAAACTATCGACGATAAATTTCCTTTACCAAATATAACTGAAATTCTAGATAAATTAGGCAAAGCTAACTATTTTACAACATTAGATCTTGCTAATGGTTTTCACCAAATGAAATAAATTCTAATGATATTTCTAAAACTGCCTTTAGCACAGATACAGGACATTTTGAATTTTTAAGAATGCCCTTTGGTTTAAAAAATGCTCCAGCAACATTTCAAAGAGTAATGAATAATATTTTAAGAGGTTTACAAAATGAAATTTGTTTTGTTTACTTAGATGATATAATTATTTTCAGTACTAGTTTACAAGAGCATATCGAAAAGTTAAGAAAAATATTTTCAAGATTAAGAACTTATCGTTTTAAAATACAATTAGATAAATCTGAATTCTTAAGAAAAGAAGTTCAATATTTAGGACACATAGTTTCTCAAGAAGGTATTAAACCTAACCCTAATAAAATAAATGCTGTAAAAAATTTTCCAATACCTAGAAGCCAAAAAGAAATAAATCATTTCTTGGTTTGGTAGGCTATTATCGCAGATTTATTAAAGATTTTGCAAAAATTACAAAACCTTTAACTAAATGTTTAAAGAAAAATGCTAAAATAATTCATTCTAAAGAATTTGTTGATTCTTTTGAACACTGTAAATCTTTATTAATAAATTCTCCAATTTTACAATATCCTGATTTTAATAAACCTTTTATTTTTTTAACTACTGACGCAAGCAATTATGCTTTAGGCGCAATTCTTTCTCAAGGAACTGTTTCTAACGATAAACCGATAGCTTTTGCTTCGAGAACTTTAAACGAATCTGAAACTAAATATTCAACAATAGAAAAAGAACTTTTAGCTATTGTTTGGGCATGTAAATATTTTCGTCCTTATCTTTTTGGAAGAAAATTTTATATTTATACAGATCATAGACCATTAACTTGGCTTTTCAATTTAAAAGAACCTAATTCTAAATTAGTTCGATGGCGATTACGTTTAGAAGAATTTGATTATCAGATAATTTATAAAAAAGGAACAAAAAATTCAAATGCTGACGCACTGTCTAGAATACAACTTAATATGTATGAAAATGAATCAATGATAAATAATCCTGGCGACTCAGATTTCAACGTCGTAGATTATATGAAAAATTTAGCTGACAATTTATCGCTAGATGAACAAGGTTCTAGTTCAAAAATAAATGTTATCTCTGACATACAAGTTAAACCTCCAGATTCTGATGCAACTGCACACTCTAATGCAAATGATAATGACAATACAACAATGACTATTATTGATGAAATTATAAACAATAAGTCTATTCAATACATTGTGTCAAAGTCACCTCACCACACAATAAAAGTTAAGTTCGAAATGATATTTAAAAATAACGTTAATTACGTCACTGTGCCTAACAATGAACAAATAATAAAACAATTTCTTAAAGAATATTTAATAGGTGATAAAACTTCTTATATTTATTTTGTTGATAAAGAACTTGTCAATACTTTTTCTAAAGTTTACTTAGCTCATTTTAATAAACCAAAATTAATACAATGTACGAAACTTGTCAATAATATTATTGAAAAAGAAGAACAAAATTTATTAATTAAACACCAACATGAAAGTAAAATAATCATAGAGGTATTAATGAAACCTATGATCGATTAAAAACCAATTATTATTGGCCTAAATTAAAGAATTCTGTTGAAGAATATATAAATGATTGCATTACTTGTCAAACACAAAAATATAGTCGATTAAAATCTTACATTCCTTTAGTCAAGACTGACACACCCTGTAAGCCATTTCAAGTTATACACCTAGACACTTTTATATTTGAAAAACAAAACTTTTTAACTATATTTGACAAATTTTCTAAATTTGGTCAAGCTTATATTTATGATAAAAATGCAAAATCAGTTTGTGATAAATTGATTAACTATTTTTCATTTTTTGGTTGTCCAGAAAATATTGTTACTGATAATGGTTCTCAATTTAATAATGGTTCTGAATTTAATAATGATTTAGTAAAAGAATTTTTAAAAGCTCATAAAATTAATGTTCATTTTGGAACTAGTGGACATCATGAATCTAATTCACCAATTGAAAGATTTCATTCAACTTTAATTGAACGTTTAATAGTTTAAAATCAAAAGATAAAGATAAAAGTTTAAATGAACTAATGACTTTTGCTATAATTGCATATAACAGTACTACACACACAGTTACAAAGTTTACACCCTTTGAACTTGTTTTTGGACACACAAATTCGAGAGATCCTTTAGATTTAATCTCGAATACATTTTACTCTGAATACATGAATACACATAAAACAAAAATTAATGATATGTATAACAAGTTGTACAAAAAACTGACGAACAAAAAGAAAAAGTTATCTCAAAAACTAATATTAAAGGTAACGAAAATTTAGAATTTAAAATTAATCAGAAAGTTTACAAAAAACTATCAGAAAGAAGTAAATCAAAATCTAAATTTAGTGGTCCTTACATAATTAAGGAATTACTTGAACATAATAAAGTAAAAATTGCTAACGCAAATAAACCTTCAAAAACTGAGGTTATACATATTAAAGAACTAAAAAAGCCCCTTATTACAGATTCCTCGGAATAGGGTTATTACTACAATATTACACACAACACACTAACATTCGAGCATAAATCTTGAAAACCTTGATTAATTTAATGCTGAAAAAATGATCTAAAGATTAATAAAAAATATGTATGAATTTTACTTAATCGATATTTAATAAATACATAAACATCAAATTTTTAAATAATCAAACCAATGATGACTTATTACATGATCATTTATTGTCTGAATGCAATTAAAAAACAAACATTTATATAAAGAAAAAACTACCCTTTAAACATACAAAAGAAAATATGTTAAATATTAAAATTTGTTTAGAAATTAAGAACTATATGAAAAACCAACATGTATTTTACTATTGAGTTACCCCTCGTAATTCACATTCCATATTAACTGAATGTATTGTTTTATTTATCTGCTTTAAAAGATAATAAATATCAAATAACGACATCTACTTTAATTAATTAATGACTATCTTTGTTACTTTTATAACTGTAAAAAATATATATGTATAATAATATTGTTTCTCATTTTTTTTGTAATTTTATTATAAATTAACATTTCTTAATATTGATTTTGACATTCAATATATTGATAAAAATAAATATGTTTTAATAATAAATTGTATAATTATTGTTATATAATATTAATATTGTCATAATATAATATTGATTTTTATATAAATTATTATATAATGAACTTTTACTAATAATAAACATTCAAGTGAATTAAATATTGTAATAAATGAATTTAATGAATTAAAAAATAAATATACTGTTTTAAAGTTATATACAAATTTTATGACGTCATTTTGAAACTAATGAATTTACCTAATATTGTCTTAAAATGTAACGAAACGGTTTATGTTAAATCTATTTATGACAATGTAAAATTGTTCAATTTAAATAATATCCATTTAAATAAAATCGATGATTTGCAAAAACAAATCAATATTCAAAAAGAAAATAATGATTTATTTCTTAAACCAATACATTTTAATACTATAAGTATTTGGACAATTTTACTATATATAATCCTTATTATTATATTTTTATATATTTGTAAAAGGTATTTATGGCCAAAAATAAGTAATTATTTTATTAAAAATAAGAAAAATCGAAATATTCATTTAAATAATGAAATTACTATATAAGGCCATAAAAACTTTAAAAAGTTTATATGTCCATCTTAGGGTGGAGGAGTTACATCCTGTACATTAGGTTTAGTACACATAAAAATGTACTTGCTTTGTAATCAATGTAATCTTATAAATACGACTCAAACTGTACAATTCGTTTGAGTCCAATGTAGATCTTAGAGCTGTTAACTTCGGTTTTTATTAAATAAAACATTTTTTAAAAACAACTTGTCTCGAGTTTCTCATTTAACTCATTACAAATTCCCGAGTCAAACTCTTCTGAAATAGTCTCTTGTTCTAATGTAGCTTCCAATTGTCTTTTTACGCAAAATGATAAATTTCTAAACGATCAACTCGAGCGTTTTTGGCAAATTGAAGATCTGTCATCTGATAATTTTTTTTTCCACAATAGGCCGTCCTCTGCCGGAAACACTGCGACCTGTGAGGTCTATTGTGTTTGTCCCCTTTCTATATCTGCACCCATTCTCCTATCCCTGTGCCCTGCACTAACTTATGCAGGTCCTTGATATGATAGTTCCTCCGGTTCTAGCCTAGCTTTCTCAAATAAAAAGTGTCGCTTGCGATCCAGAGCCTCGCAGTGACATATTATGTGCTCCGCTGTTTCAGGATCTTTAGCGCAAAGTCTGCAGCAAAGACTTCCTTGATACAGATTGAGCTTGTTCAGGTAACACTTGACAGCCATATGTCCTGTCAAGAGGACTGTTGTAATCCGCAATTTATTCCTGCTAAGCATTAGCAGTTCTTTTGCGGTTTTGGAGCTAGGTCCTTGGATAAAAGCCTTGCTGTGCCTGTGCCCGTGTCGGTTTCTCCAGTGGACATTCTGCTTTTTCCTGATCCAGAGTTTTAGTGCACTACGGGCCATACATTTGGGTATTCCCAGTACTGGCTCTGGACCAAGATAAGATGCCGATGATCCTTGCCTAGCTAGCTCATCGGCTTTTTCGTTGCCTTGGATGCCGCTGTGGCCCGGCACCTAGAATAATTTAATTCTGTTCCGTCGAGCCATAGCTTCCAGTTCACCTAGGCATTCCCAGACGAGTCTCGACGATACCTTTGGGCTCATAAGCGCCCCAAGTGCCGCCTGTCTGTTTGAGCATATATTGATGAGCTTATCTGAATAAGCTCTTCTATTGTTTTCTTTCGCACATCGTAGAATGGCGAAGATTTCTGTCTGGAATACGGTTGAGTCTTTACCCAAGGAAAACGATAAACTTACCCTTGGTCTTTCCCGAAATACTCCAGCTCCTGTTCCTTCAGCGGTCTTTGACCCGTCTGTATACCAGGTTAGTCCATCCTGAAGGAATGTTATATCTGTCCACATTCCTCGATCCATTTTGTTCACCTCGAATGGTTTGTGATAGTGATAAAGAGGGGTCATTTGGTCCGATCTTATTTGGAGTAGAGGTCCTCCGATAGGATTTCCCATCTTTGAGTGTCCTGTTTCTGTCCTATTTCCCAGAGACAAGACACTTTGTTGTCGATAGAGTCCCATTCTTGCCTCCGCCTGGATCACTATGTGAAGAGGCGGAAGGTCCAGAAGCGCCTCCATTGATGCAGTGGGCGTTGATTTCATTGCCCCTTTATGCTCAGACAAGCAAGTCTTTGCACCTTACTAAGACTGAGCATTGTTGTTTGTTGCATTACCTTAGGCCACCATACCAAGGATGCATATGTTACTGAAGGCCTCACCATTCCAGTGTACAGCCAGTGCACCATCTGTGGTCTGAGGCCCCAGATTTTTCCATGAAGTGGTCTGACTACCGCTAGTGTAGTCACCGCCCTCCTTGTGACATTTTCCAAATGTCGGTTACAAGTCAGTTTGGTATCCAGCATGATTCCTAGATACTTGACCTCCCCCGAGAGAGGAATCTCATCACCGCAGAGTCTTAGAAGTCCTTGTCCCTCCAAAATTCTTCGTTTGGTGAAGGGGATTATTACGGTCTTTGTAGGACTGATATTTAGTCCCTCCCGTGTCACCCATGATTCCACAATCTTCAGGGCCCTTTGCATTTGCTCCCTTACTGTTGTGTTAAACTTGCCTCTGACTAACACGACCAAATCGTCTGCGTATCCCAAACCAGCCCAGTTGATACTATCAAGCAGTCCGTCCATAACGAGATTCCACAGCAGAGGGGAGAGAACTCCACCCTGCGGGCATCCTCCCGCCACCCGGACTGCAACAGTCTCATTTAGTAGGGTGGTATATGCCACTCGACTTTTGAGCATGCAGTCTATCCACCTGCAGCAGGTCTCCTCTAATCCGAGGTTCCTTGTAGCTCTCGTCAGTGACTGAAATGAGGTGTTATCAAACGCCCCTTCTATGTCGAGGAATGCCCCTAAAAGCACTTCTCTTGTTTCGAACGTCGACTCCACTTTGCTTACTAGTCATCTGATAATACTAAGTTGTCAAATGAAGAACTTGATTGTGAAATACATTTTTGAAAACATTTTGAACAGGACACTACCGGTCGTTACACAGTACAACTTCCGTTGAAGAGCAATCATACTGAATTAGGTGAATCAGTAAGTACAGCAATCCAGCGTTTAAAGCACCTGGATAGTAAGTTAGCACGCAATGATGACTTACGTAAACAATATCATGAATTTCTGCAAGAATATGAAGACTTAGTCAAGAGTTAATATCGAATTGGATAAATCCAATGAAATACATAATTATTTACCACATCACGCGGTAGTAAAAGAAGATAGTAGTACTACACGTGTAAGAGTAGTTTTTGATGCATCATCTAAAACGGCATCAGGGTTGTCTTTGAATGATGTGATGATGATAGGTCCTGTTCAGAGGAACTTATTTGATATTTTAGTACACTTACGCATATTTAATGTAGTCATTACAGCGGACGTTGCAAAAATGTACCGACAAATATTTGTCCATGAATCGCAGCGCAATTTACAAAGAATTGTATGGCGCAAAGAACCATCGCAAGAAGTTAAACATTATCAGTTGAATACAATTACTTATGGAACAGCTAGCGCTTCCTTTCTAGCCACACGTACTCTACATCAAATTGGGCTTAATTGCAAGGATACTGAGCCTATAGTTAGTGATACAATTTTAAATAATTTTTATATGGACGATTTAATTTGCGGAGCATCCACCATTGAAGAAGCTATAGAGCTAAAATTAGGGCTCGAAAAAGTTTTGTCGAATTCAAGGTTAACGCTGAGGAAATGGCGATCAAATAAACAAGAAATTCTTAATACAAGTTTATATAAAGAGTCAGAAAATGAAAGCCAATCTCAGTACGTGATATCATCAGATATGAAAGGAAAAACATTAGGTATATATAGGGATACAAAAACTGATATATTTCAGTATCTTATAACATATAAAGACTTAAAGAAACCAATTACAAAAAAGGTTATACTATCTACAATAGCCACTATTTTCGACCCACTGGTCTCATATGTCCATGCATTATAAGAGGCAAATTATTCCTACAACGGCTCTGGCAATTAAAAATAGACTGGAATGAAAAAATTCCTGGCGATTTTCAAGATATTTGGAGAGATTTTATCGATACCCTGACAGACATAAATAAAATACAGATTCCGAGACATGTTATACTGACCAAACCGTCAAGGTTATATTTACATGGATTTTCTGATGGATCAGAAGTAGCGTACGGTGCTTGCATTTACATTGTGTCGACCGATGACAGTGGTTATAGTTTATCAAATTTAATATGTTCTAAATCACGTGTTTCACCGATTAAAACCATATCTTTACCGAGATTAGAACTATGTACAGCGTTATTGTTAGCTCAATTAATGAACACGGTTCGCCAAGCATTGAAACTTGATGTTACTTTTTACTTTTGGACAGACTCTAAAATCGTGTTGGCGTGGTTAAATGATCAACCTAACAGATGGAAAACATTTGTAGCCAACAGAGTGTCAGAGATTCAGTGCATGAGTGAACATTCCGATTGGTATCATGTACCTTCCACAGATAATCCTGCGGATCTCGTGGCTTACGACCTTCAAAATTAATGCATTCTAAATTGTGGTGGCATGGCCCTGAGTGGCTTACTCAATCTATAGATCATTGGCCATCAAAAGATGAAATTAAAATAGATACAATTCCCGAAATGCGCAAGGAAAAGATTATTTTAACGTATCATACAATTACTGACAGTTCAATATTTTCTCGATATTCTAGTTTTTCTAAACTACAGCGCGTAGTAGCTTATATTTTAAGATTTAATCATAATTCTAGAAATAAGGATAAACTAGATAAGGGTCTTTCCCATAACGAGTTGGAAAGAGCTACTCTGGTATTGTGTAAAATGGTTCAGGCACTGGAGTTTCCAGTAGAACTAGCTCTTTTATGTCAGAGCAAGTCGATTCATAAAAATAGTAATATTTTATCATTAGATCCTTTTATAGATAAGGATGGTCTTATTAGAGTAGGAGGGCGACTTAAACATTCATCTCTAACATTCGAACAAAAACATCCTATTTTGTTGCCCGGAAAACACATATTAACAAAGCTTTTAATAAAACACGAGCATCATAAATGTTTACACGCCGGTAGTCAATTAATTCTTGCACGATTGCGTACTAAATTTTGGCCAATTAATGGTCGTAATGCTGTTCGCAGTGTATTAAAGAATTGCCTCACGTGCTTTAAAACCAATCCAAAAACAGCGGTTCAAAAAATGGGTGATCTACCTGAATCGCGAATCACACCTTCTAGGGCGTTTTATCATTGTGGCATTGATTACACTGGATTTTACAATTTAAAAGACGGAAAATCAAGAACACGGACTTTAGTTAAATGTTATTTATGTATATTCGTTTGTCTAGCTACTAAGGCCGTACATGTTGAGTTAGTTTCCGATCTTACTACTGAAACATTTATGAACGCGTTTAAGAGATTCGTATCTCGGAGAGGTCTATGTCGACATATTTATACTGACAACGGTACTAACTTTGTTGGTGCTCATAACAACATGCAAGACGTTTATAAGATATTAAAAAACTTAAACGATAATGAAAAGTATTATAACTATTTTAAAGATCATATTATCGAATGGCATTTCATACCTGCAAGATCTCCTCATTTTGGAGGCATGTGGGAAGCGGCAGTAAAATCGTTTAAACATCATTTAAAACGAGTTGTTACAGATGCTAGTTTAATCAAGTTTGAGGAATTTTACACGGTCTTGACTCAAATAGAGGCGCATTTCAAAATCATCCAGACCTTTATCCCCCTCTTTCAATGACCTTTAGACCTTTACCCATTAATCCCAGGACATTTCTTAATTGGCGATGCACTGGTCTCAGTTCCTCAACAACCAGTAGTTGATATACCATTGAACCGATTGTCCCACTACAAGAAACTTCAACAAATGGTGCAGAGTTTTTGGAACCGCTGGTCAAATGAGTATACTACATACCCTACAACAACGTTTCAAATGGAAGGAGGACAACGGCAACATTATCATCGGCTCGCTGGTTCTCCTCAAGGACGAAAATCTTCCCCCCATGAGTTGGCAACTAGGTAGAATCATGGAGGTGATTCCCGGCAAAGACAATAAGGTTCGGGTAGTGCTGGTGCGTGTCCGTGGCGGTATTGTTAGAAGAGCTATACATAAAATTTGTCCGCTGCCTCAGGCAGACTAGATATGTTATGTATTATTAAGCTAAGATATGCTAATATAAGTTATGATATGTTAGTAATATTTACCATTTGATATTGTATAAGTTAATGTTTTTAATTCAAGTTGATATTTTATTTTATTGAAATAGTTAAGTATTTCAAGGCCGGCGCCATGTTTGTTACTTAATAGAGAATTTGAATTTAGCGCCTAAAGCGCGCCATATTGGTGACGTAGAGAATGATAGCAGTCATGTTCAAGAAAACAACTGTACACACATTCTTGTAAATCACACATAAAAAATAAAGTTTCATAGAAGTTACAACTTCTTTCAATCCACAACATACACACAAAAATCAACAGTCCACTACACAATCATATTCAAACAAATCAGCGCCCCTGTAATCTTCAATTTTTGAAACGTGGAGCATCGATAAATGTATTTAGTTCTTTAAGATTTAAAATGAAACGGTGTTTTCCATTGGCCTTTTCTCTTAAAAAATAAGGAGATATGAATTTACCCTTCATCCATTTATTTGTTCTTCATAAATGCCTTTCTCGAAATCAGTAATATAAATATCCCTAATTTTCTTTTCAAATGGTCTAACCTTAAATGTGATATTTTTTAACCTATTGCAAAATTGTGGTATTTTCAGTTATACTTTTAATTACCTGTGTGTAAGCCAGCAATACTTTTAATTACCTGTGTGTTACTTAAAAATTGCGTGATTTCAGGCGGTGAAATGTCTTCGTTTGTTCTTCTCTCGGAAAACGCTTCGATTGCGTTGGTATTGATTTTTTCCTGTTGTGGTAGCATTGACGTTTGTAGTTTAAATGTTTGGTTTGGGTAGCTGGAAAACTGGTTTTAGTATGTTGGTAGTTAGGTGGGGCATTTCTATAGATGTAGATGGCCTGTGGGTTGATTTGATAGCCCAGCCCGTTCTTCTGGCGGTTTCATTATCTTTGATGTTTTGGAAAAATGGTTTCCCCTATAAAAACTCATCTGTCTTGCGTGTTGTTATTAGTTTGCGAGACGACGACGGTTTGAGAAAAGGACCTATTCAGTATTTCCTATGTGTTGTTAAGGCATGATGTACGTTACACATGAGCTGTGAAGAAACTGCTAGATTTTTTAAGGCTTCACGGCTTTCGTTATCTCGGTTGGCTTGGAGTAACTTATTTATTTGCTTCCCCGAGGACACTAGCGCATGCCCCGTTTCTTTCTGTAGTAGGGCCATAAATTTGTCTTGTCTCAAAGTTTTCGAATCCAGACACGAAGTTACTTCTTGTCCTAAGATAGGAGGATTAAGTAAAAGACAATTTCTAGGAATCGGATATGTTTCCACTATTTTTTCCTTCTGATCTCTAAGTATTCCATTCTGTAAATACGCTGTCCATCTGGTTGCTAATTCATGATGGAGAGGTTCGGCTGTTTCTGACGAAGTATTTGGCATGGTGCCCAAAATATTAAAGCAGATTTTGATAAATCGATTGCAAGTCAGTGTAAGATATATTCTGTGTGGCAGCAGTTATTGTTTCTTTTCTTTTGCGATTGCTTACAGGAAAACTATTCCAGGGCTGGAGGATGTCATGAGTTTTTCTTATTCTTAAAGTAGTAGGAGTATCAGCACACAAATCACAGTTGAATCCATAGTCCTTTAATTATTTTATATTTCGGGTCTTTCCATATACCTCTTTCCAAACTGGTGAAATCCTTAAAAAAGCTCTGATGCATCCAAACTACTTTAAAAGGTTTCTTAACTTTGGCTTTAGCAATAACATTAGTCTACTGAAATTGTTCATAAACCATGGATGTTTTTTTTTGCTTTTTAGATATACGAAAAGTCTCTGTCATAGGGAAGAAAGCTGTGGTGTGTGGTCAAAAATGTTTGGTCTACTTTTGTAAAATATTTTGATATTATTAGGAAGTGGTATATTGCAATCATTTTCCAGTTATTGTTGACTCGCCAACACAGCGGTCAGACCAGACAATAAGTTTCCTTTCTTCCCCTAATTGCAAGGACTCAAATCTTTGCCAGGTATAAAACAACAATGCGGATGCGATTTCGGTAGGTCCTCTGTGTGCCAGGGCTTCATGCCAGAGCATCATGGTAGCATTGTTTTCTGCAGCATCGTGTACTGCGTAGTTATAAGTAGCGAGCTGCCGCTGGTAAAATATTGATGAATGGATTAATGTTGGACAGTATAAAACCTGTTGTAAATCTGTACACAACACTATCAAGTTAGGGTTATTAATGGTCATTTCTGTGTCAGCTTTCAGTGTCTTATAACCTGCGTCTGCCCTCATGTGATGTATTTTACTTTCCTTCATAATCGATTTCTTTTCATCCTCAGTATCAGCGGCGCATAGTTTAATATACAGTTTGTCACAATATGAACAGGTGTCTGTACGGAGAGCTCCAAATCTTACGTTAAATTTGGTCTTAAAAACATCTGTGTATGCCCTTAATGATATTTTTGAATTGTGGAACTTTTCCAGGAACAGCTTATGCATTTTAACCAAATTTAAGTCAGGTAAAAGACACTTTTTGAGGACTCGTTCCTGCTATAATGATTTTCTTGTAAAGGAAAAGAAGATATATGTTCAGAAATTATGTTTTTTTCTGTTTGTTGCAACTTTTTCGGACGATTTTCATGCCTACCTCGAAGATCCCTTATTTCCGTGCCATTCTTTATTTTTTTCCACAAGGTACTGTATTCTCCTGGGGGTCACTCCAAAAATTTCACAAACACTTTTTTGACAAACTTTGACGTTTTCAACATAATATTTTACGGTGCACTGTCTCCTTGAAATATTGGGCGTTTTCACACCAGCCGACACTACACCGACACGATTGTGCCGACTTTTCTGTCATTACCCAAACAGAAAGAAAAAGTATCCGTTGCTCAGGGTTAGAAGAGAGCTGGGTTCGTAGGTAAGGCTTCTGGCCTGCGGTGACTTTCTAATGTTGTTAAATATTAAAATTAAAAATGATAATATTTAGGCTGCAAAGATTTTAATATTGATGTTAAGTATTTATATAGATATGTCCAAAGACAGTAAAAAGGGCGTCACTTACTTTGTTTATGAAAGAGGTAAAGTAAGAAACCAAAATGAAGAATATTTTATCACAAAATAGCTAGACTAAAGTAATCAACAGCAATAAGGGTCTTTATCAAGAATAAAAGTCAGAAATAACTATACTACATTTTATTTAAAAACGAACACAAGTACCAGTTAGTTTCAATGATCCCAGTAAAAATGTAAAGTTATTTTAAATAAATTCGACTTTAGTAACAGTATTCTTCGAACTATGCTATTTAATATAAAAAAACAAGTGAAATTTATGTATATATCAATACGATGATGTTTCGAAACATGTCATGTAC